TTTTATATTATTAAATTACACTTATTACTAATTATTATCATCTTCAGGAAGATTCAAACAGCCATCCAATAGGTTTGCACACTGCTGGCTATCCAACAAAATATTTTTTCCGTCCAGCATAAGAATTTTGGCTTTAGGGTTGTCCATATTTAATAGATAAAATTTTTTTATTTTCTTCTCAGACAAAAGTTTGCGACAAAGATAATTTAGTTTGCCAGACGATGGGGACAAATTGTCGTTCAGATAAATTCTGGATTCAATGGTTCCACCTATGATTTTATTTAGCAATAACGGTTCTGATTTGTGGTAATTTTTCATGATGGTGTCACGTAATTGCACGGAATTCAATTTTACTATAAAGTATTTTCTATGTTTTATGTAACAGCAATGATTAATATCTGAGAGGCTAATATCCACTCCAACAAATTTGGCTATTTTAATTGTGTTTTCACGTATCTTTTCGATGGTACAATTTAATCCACTTATCAAAATATCCGATCGATTTAAGCGTCTTTCCAACATATTGTTCTTGTATTGAAGTTGATGATATTTGTTCTCATACGCTTTATCTGTATTTTTGACACAAGAGTAACAATTAGCAACATCCGATTTAATATTAGCAATTTCAGTATTGACTTCTTTACGAAAATCATTAACCATCTGGACTACTTTAGTTTCTAGGTTTAAAAATCCGTTATCCATTCGATGCTCAATATTTACTTTGGTATCCTCAATTTTATTTTCTATTGAAATTTTAATTTCTTCCATTCGTTTGATAATGTCATTGTTAGTATTTTCACCAACTCCAATGCCTTTTTTACAATCATTACACAAAAATTTAGAAATATTTTTACGAACGGCATTTAATAATTGTTCAGTGACACCAGCACACTTGTTATGAAAGTAAAGACCACAACTTCCACATCCAATACTAGGATTAGTTTTTGTTATATTCGTGTGGCAAATAGGACACTGGACAGGATTCTTTGGTGACATTATGAGAATGTATTAATTTATATTATTTATTTATTAGAGTATGTGTGAATAAATGTAGATTTGTTTTTTTTTTTTTTTTATTTATTTTTTTTTTTTTTTTTTTTATTATTAATTAGATGTTGGGTTGAAACTAGTTTAATTTTAACTTTTACACATATTAATAGTAAAATGCAGTATTATTTTCTTTTCACCAAAAATATTATTAATTAATGTATTTGTGTGCGTAAATTATTGTATTGTTTATTTATTTTGTTTTATTTTTTTATCCATGAAGTTGACAACACTAAATATTTCTTATATGAATCTTTCAAATTCCTTTTATCCACAACATTCTTCCCACTAAATGTTACTTTTAAGATCTTTACTCTCCATCATTTCTTACATTTATTCTGTCCTTCATATGTATGTGTTTAAATCAAACGTTATATTGATATCATGTATATGTATATACATATATGGAAACAAATGTAGATTTATTCTATTGTAGTTTTTGGTGTCCATTAAATGTTGTGTTGAATTTTGATTTATTTATATTTATTTCACTTATATAGATTGTAATATGCATTAATATGAGAAAAATAATTTTTAAAGCAATTAAAATATTTATTTGTATTTTGTAAAATTAATTAGATGTTGGGTTGAAACTTGTTTAATTCTAACTTTTACACATATTAATAGTAAACTATCCACCAAAAATATTGGTAATTAATGTATTTGTGTGCGTAAATGATTGTATATTTGATTTATCTTGTTTTATTTTTTTATTCATCAAGATGACAACACTAAATATTTCTTTCTTCAAATTCCTTTTATCCACAATATTCTTCCCACTAAATGTTACTTTTAAAATCTTTTACTCTCCGTAATTTTTTTTTTTGCATTTATTTTATCCTTCATATGTATGTGTTTAAATCAAACGTTATATTGATATCATGTTTATTGATATCATGTATATGCATATACATAAATGGAAACACATGTAGATTTATTCTGTTTTAATTTTTAGTGTCAATTAAATGTTGTGTTGAATTTTAATTTATTTATATTTATTTCACTTTTGCGGATTGTAATATGCATTAATATGAGAAAAGTAATATTTAAAGTAGTTAAAGTAGTTTAAAGTAGTTAAAATATCATGTATGTTTTTTTTTTTTTTTTTTTTTTTTAGCTTGTCTTAACACCAAGTCAATGTGAGATATTCCAGTCAAATTTATTTTGTTAAAGTTTTTCGGGATTATTATCAAAACACACTTATATTTATATTCAATAAGCTCAGAATTAAATATTAATCACTTTTTTACATAGATCATATTTTATAATTCAAATTATTTAATATTTTCAAAGATTTTTTTGCTTTTGCTTCACGACCGCGAATTTTTCTCAACCGCACATATTGACGTTGCCAGATATTTTTGACGTCAAAACATATTAATTAAATGATTTAGCGCTTTTGATTTATTTCTGAAAATAAATCTTTAGAATGGGGCTTTACGCCTCTTATAAGGAAAACGAGTACGAAAAAAAAATATTTAATTTCGCATTAAATGTTTGTATTCTTGCTTATCATTAATTTCTAATAATTCCATAGTCTAATGGTCTTAAATATAACATTAAACAAAATATTATTAACTCTAACGCTAATGTAAAGATATACTAATTGCAATTAAGATAAATTTTACTCGTGATCGAGTAAAATTTATCTTAATTGCTCTGTTTATTTTTCCTTGCTTAAGTTTTTAAAATTTCTTTGCGATACAAAAGCTTAATCAAATTATGATGGCGGGCGGTAGTTATGCTTTTTTATTATAAATTAAAATTTAGAATTGTATGCCCTTGAACTTCGAGAAAAAGCAAAGTTCAAGGTATGTCTATCAGTCCGTCTGTTTGCATGTTTATTGGGATCAATTTTCTGAAGACCCCAGATATCTTTTGGATCAAAATCTTCCATAATTCTATCACAAATCCTTTCATGAAGTTTCCCATTTAAAATCTATATTTATTTCAAATCAATTTTAACCGATAACTGAAAATAGACAAAGTATTAAAACAATGTAAGTCCAGCAAATAATTCGAATGAAACTAATTTTTTCCATCTATCTTTACTGAATAGGGACTTGAATAAATAATTATTTTTTGACTGCTTCTTTGATATGATATGAAGAGAGTTTGCCCCTTCAATAATGTCCTAGGAGAGGGTCAATTGTCAATATTAAGGCACTCAGTAACAGTTCGCTGAACTAAATAAAACGAATTGGTATAAATTAGAAAATTTACCAACCTTTAAAACAAATTTAAAAAACGCAGTTGTTTGAGATCAAAAATGAAAACGCTATAAATTGTTGGTATATTTTCCACGCATGGATACCTAATTATGTTTTAAACGTTAATAGTAGAAATTGAAATATACCTTGACCTATATTTTCAACAACTAAGTAGTAATAGTTGCAAAAATGCTATGTATTTGTATTATAAAAAATCTATAGAGATTTTGTCAAAATTATGAATCTATTATTATATCAATTAATATTGTCTAAAATCGTACGTGCAAATAAATACTATCCGATACAAATGAATCAGTCTATAGGTATGTCTCGATCCGTCCGTCTGTCAATTTTATACGTATGCAGATCATATCCACCATATGAGTCGTTTGTCTGAAACAAGTGTCGAGCATATTAATTCTTCTTTAACTTTTAAACATAAATATTCATACACTCTAACATATGTATGTATGTATCCACCACAAATTTATTAAAATTTTTTGTTTTACATTTCAATCTGATTATTTTATGTTAAACACGTTTTAGGTATAATTACATTTAAAGTTCAACATAAAGTTCAATTTTAAACACAAATTATAAGTATGAATGATTGTTATCCAATAATAATAACAAAAATAATAACAATTCTATGCACATTAATCGGAAGTTAATTTAAATTTTTGTTGGGTCATTAAATGGTTCAACACACTACCAACATTTTTTTTTTTTCATTTCGTTCCAATTCGCACATTGTATTTTATATAATTGTTAAATAACAAATTCAAACTTAAACATTTCAATGACAATCGTTTTCAAATACATACTCGTGCAATATTTAAAATATTTGTTTAAATATTATAACATTCTTGATTTTTTTTTAATGTGATACAGATACAGAAACGTCATTATTAATTTCGTTATAAATTCAAGATCTTCGTAGACCACACTTTTTATTAAACGTGTTTTAGCAAAAAAAAAAGTTGACAAAAATAATTGCATATTAAATAATATAATTTCTTCTTTTGTATTATATTATCCAATAAATAAAATGTCTTTTCAACATATACATAGGTCAGCTTTAAATGAAATGACACTATTGGATCTATAGATTTTAGCGGTTCCATTCATAAAAAATAATATTGGAACTGTAATAGACAATTTAGGTTACTAATTCAATAAAAAATTATATAGGAATTTTTAATAAGGATTAAAACTAATATTTGAAATTTTGTAAGAAAAACAATCAAATAATCTTATAAAATCGGCATTGTCATTGCGTCGACATTAATTATATAGAATTGAATTAATTAAACAACATTTATTAAACACTTTCGCAAATAAGTGTTAAATTTATTTAAAATTCTTAAATAAAAATAAACTATTAAAAAACATTTTAAAATTTACATTTTATATTTATAACGATTTCTTTAATGACGTCAAGACATATTAAATATTAAATAAATTCTTAATATAATTTACAAATTTAACGGAAATATTTGTTTATTTAAAAATAAAATTAGCACAATTTTTTTTATATGTAAAAGTATTGTCAACAATATCTTTAAAAATAATAATTAATAAACATTTGACAATAAATAATATCAGTTACTTATTTAACTTTTAAATAACAGATGCTTAATTGCGACCCATAATTTGTAAAGGTTTTATTTTTAAACGGGACTTAAGTTTCTTGAAATTCAGATTCTCTGTCATTAATTGGTTTATTCTTTAAAAAACACTTACATTTCGAGAGGCTTAAGCCCCAGGCCGGTTGCTGCTGCGTCATGTTTAAAGTTGTTATGGATTTCTTTTGTTCTCAAAATTCTTTGTTGTTTATTAATATTTTTTTTGTGTTTGTAATTACACAATTATTTTGGGGAAATTTATGTATTTGTAATAAAAAATTTCCTGTTTTATTTTATTTGTAACACTTCCGCTTTGGTTCAAGAATTTTATTATTTTTTTTTTTAGCAATTTTTTTTTAAATTATTTATTTTTATAAAAATTTATTTAATTTACTTTATATTTGCTTTAACACACTAAACACTTAAAAATATACATATGTATGTATGCATCACATAAAAAATTCTTTAAAAGTTCTTACTGATCTGCTTTCCAAGATCTATAAGCGTTTATTTTCTTGGTTGCACCAGCGAAAGTGAGCGCACTTTTTTCAAATTTGTATTTCAGTTACAAGTTCGTTTTCCCCGATTTTGTTATGTTTTTCTTTTTGATGTTCTTTTGAAAAAACACATTCGCGCCTTACGAACGTTAAATTTCAAATGAGAAGAGATTTTTAAATGTCTTTAGTTTATATACGAAGATAAGCCGTTATTGTTAATTTTTATTTCATTTAAACGACAGTTTGAGTGTAGAGTACAATCTGTCGTTTGCTTGTGTTGGTGGTGGTAGTAGTTTAGTGTTTTTTTTTCTTCTGAACACCTTACACTCGATGTACAGGTTTAATACTAAGTATATTGTCATTTTTAACAGAAAGTGCAAACTTTGTTTATCCAATGATCAAATTATTGTTAGTGGTCGTTTAAAAACCAGTTAATACAGTTGACCTATTCTTTTTACATTTCAAGAGTGTACACGATATGGTATTTTTATATATGTAAGCTGAAATGCTTCGCAATAGTTCCTGCAAAGCCGCTTTTCGATATATACGAAGAAACAAACTAACACATTTACCCTTCATAAATTTTAAGCATTTCAATAACAGTCCGACAAGATTTCTCGAGGTCCATCCACATGTCCATATACATTTTGTAATGAAACCATAGTTAGAATTTTTTAAAATACATAATTCGATGAAAAATCGTACACATTCTATAATTGGTCGAACTCTACTCTCTCATACAAATGGAACTTTGAATGTTAAAAAAGTACACTTTTTGAAGGGTTGAGCAGCACTGAAATCGAATCTGGCCTTCCATTATATCAGGTTTTCCAGATGTCGTTAAAGAGAAAACCAGTTTGTGCCATATTTGAGGCGAAGACCAAAAAAGGATCCTACTTCGAGATCTCTTAACTGAAAGTTAAAAAAAAACTCTAAAATAAGTTTTTGTCAATTTATGATTGTGTCCATTTCTAGGTTAAAATATCTCTAAGAAGGAAGTAGATACTTATAACAGAATTTAAACCTTTATTTTAAAGTCAACAGAATGAACTTTTAAACGGCATGAACCTGATATGATGGAAAAATTCTAAGACCAGATTCGGTTTCAGTGCTACCTTTGCACTGTTATTTTGCCAAAATTCTAAAAGTTATCAATTTCGTGTAAATCGAGTTCTAAATGTTTTAAATTATTCATTTTCCCATGTATAGATTTTACATGTATAATTTTATATATGATTTCAGTATTAATGATGTTGGGTTGTTGGTTTGTAGTAGTACGAGTATCGTTTTAATAATTTGTATTATCCCATGTTTTATTAACAATCTATTATTGTTTTAAAAGCAGCACCAACAACAACAAAATAGAACAATTTCGTATATTTTTTATGTGGCTAGACGTAATAATTATGTTCTAGTTGTTATTGTTGTTGGATATTTTAACCGACATTTAACAACGATCAGTTTAGTTTAGTGACTTGTAGTTAAATTAGTATAAGTAAATATGTATGCATGTACGTATATTGTAATTGTTACGAATACATATTTACAATATCATATGGTTGGTGTTGTTTCTTGTTTTTTTGGAAATATGTAGTTAAGTATGTATGAATGAATTTACTCCTAAAACAACAAAATATATGTGTGTGTATGTACCCACAATCATAGCCAGGTCTCTATATAAGTAATAAACAAGGTAAGAATGTCATCGTTTTTAGACGTTTTAGTAAATTGATTTGATAAAAGAAACTTAACTAAAAAAAATAAACGCGTTTTAACGATTTTTTATTAAAGAGGAAATGTTTGTATTTTTTTTCGCTGTTAAACCCCCAAAATGGCAATTGTAAATTCTTTTTTGGGGGGAATTTATAATCTGCACAGATACATACATATAAATGCAATTATTTACAACACCTTTTAACAATTGATTTATTTCATTATTTAATTGTATAAAAAACGTTGGGTGTTAAAATAAATCTGTCATGGCGCTTTTTATACATATAAATATTCCTCAAACACCCTATAAATTCTGTGAAAATCGGTACATTAAATAGTCGGCCATCGGTTACAGACACGAAAGGTTTTTACCAATTTTATATACATACATATATTTATTTTAGCAATATATTAATCTTAGTTGGAAAAAATGAAAGCTCTATTATTATATTTAATATTTAATTTTACAGAACTAAAATATTTTTTATAATAACAAAAGCATATGATTAGTCATGATCATATAGAAGTAGAGCCAGGAATCCATATAGATTATTTTAGACAAAATAATGAAAGTCACTTTGAAATTTTTGTGATTCCCAATAAAAATAACTTTCTGCTTAATGTGAGCTTATAAGATTCGACACACACAAATATAAAACTCCTTTTTGCTGTACATTATACATATTTTTTGAAAAAATCAACAATATCGTCATCTGAAATGCAAAAAGGCGTAACAACTAAAAAATTTTAAATCGGTTTTTGACACTGCATCAAAATTTTAAGAACTTTATTGTCAAAAACTCAGATTTTATTGACATGAAATTCAAAAGGGCGTAACAACAAATTACTAATTTCCACAAGTCAGAAAGTCCTAAAAGCAATGCCCTAATGTCTGGCGGTACCGTCATATAAATCTTTTAAAAAATACCTTCTTTTATAGCAAATATTGTTCATTTAGTTTTTTGTCTCTCCAGCAAAATATTTAAAAGTGTTGTTACGCCCTTTTGCATTTCAGTTGACGATATATTATGATGTTTTCAAATTTATTTAATTAAAATGTAAATGTGTTATTACGTGTTGAGAATTGAAATAAGAAAATTTTAAATTTTAAGAGGATAAGAGCCATGAATTAAAATCTAAGTATTTTGAAGAAAGTTTTAAATTTGTTTATTTTTAAAAATTACGCTTAATTAAGAACATTTGCAATTTCTCAGAAAAAATGCTACATATCGAGGGATCATATTAAAAAACTCTCTATCGTAAAGGACACTAGTATCCAGGAACAAATATTTTATTTCAAAATCAGTAGAAATCGAAGTATCACAATCCTTCTGAATATAAAGCTTTCGTTCAAAATGTTCTGTATAAACGTTAAATACAATTATTGAAAAAGATAGAATTACTTTTTTTAAAGAATAATTACATTACAAAAATGTTAATGAAATTAACAAAATTAATTCATTTTTCTTTAAAATTTATATCAGAGATGATCAAAACCTCATTTTTATTCAAATCCAAGATATAAAGTATTGAATAAAGCCACTCGATATATGTATATTATTATAGCTCTGAGATAATTTTATCTATCAGTGAATTTCATGGTGAGAGTGATAAATATTTTTAGTCATGGTCAAAATAATTAAAACGGATGTTTTTTATATTTATTAAAGGGGTAAATAAACATATTTAATTAAATTTAATATGTATAACAGGTTCTTTATTTTTAAATGTGCGTATAAGATAAACTTTATTTAAAAACAATAAGTAGAAATGAATAAAAGAAATTTAAGTTATTTTACGAGAAGCTAGTTTTGATTTTAGAACATTAGTTTAATTACATTGTTTTCAGTTTTAACAACACTTGATTAATCTTTTTCTTCATTATTGAATTTTATTAATTAAATATATTCTTTAATAATATGATATATTAGCACTACTTTTTACTTATTAACAATTTTATATTTTCAACAAACGTCATTATTTCTCTAAATTTTCTTTTATTTAATTATATTTTTACAAAATAAAATCGTGTTTCGTCGCGTCTAACTAGCGTTTTAAAACTATTTGTTTTTTTTGTATAAAATATTGTTTATAATCTCTTTCTACGGTATTATTATTGCAAAACAAAAAACTGCTCATTTTTTTTTCTGAATTAACAGAATGTTTCACACACTACGAGTACAAAACGAAATTAACTGAACTCTATCTAGTATTTATGTAGATATCTGTGTATTAAACCGTAAAGTAGGAGATCATTCACACTTGCAACGAAAACTAAATCAAAAGTAATCTGTTAAATATTCTGGAGTTAAATACAAATTTTGGTTAATTTCATTATTTTATAAAATTGCAAGTAGAAATTAAAACGTTTGCCTTAAATTTTTTATTATCTTTTAAACATTTTGAAACAAACGTTATAACGTTGTATGTGTAGATAGATATGAGCAATTGTATAGTGCTATTGTTCATACATATATATTATTATTTTATTTTATATTTTCTTTATTTAATAATGCAACACGTTTTTAACATTTACTAATAGTATTTACATATTGTTAAGTATTTGTAATTAATGATAAACTGTCTTAGCTTAAAATTTTATATTTTTTTGTACCAAGTCAAAAAAGAACATTCAAAAAGCGACTTAACATTTACTAAGTAAGTTTTATATTCTTTTTTGGAACTGATTTGGTAGTACTGTTTTTAATAAACTATATGATAGAATTACAAAAATGTATATAAAAATTCTGTCAAAATATCATAATAACACAGTAACGAAATCCATAAGCATATTTCTGCGATCACTACATACATATGTAGATCGTTATGGCTTCGTACCAACCAACCAACGCAAAACTGCAAAACTTCTTGCTCTTCACAGACTACAATTAGGTAATTTGCTATCAGTCATTACTGGTCATGTAAATTTAGTAACCATGATAAACGTATTGGTCTTCCGTAGATGAGACGGTAGCCTATCTTCTCTGTAACTGTCCAGCTATAGTAACGGCACGCTATCAAAGTCTAAGATCAACTTACATCAATGATATATCTGATGTATGCAGTGTTCAATTAGAACGACTTAATGCATTCTAGAACTTGTAAAATTGGGTTCGAACTTGAAATTCTCACTAGACACTACGTCTCTATTCTCGACATCTGCATTGTTTCTCCTCCTTCTTTCATCATCCCCTATCATTCTTCCCCCGCTACCTCTTTTACCTTATTCTTATAGCTATTTTTATAATGGAATCAATCTTGGATCTAAGTAAAGGGGTATCCGTTTTTCGATGAGCATGTTAAAACCTAACCTATATTAACATATTTACAAAAACATTTCCGCTTAAAAAATAAAAATAAATAATAATTTCTTCTTTGAAAACCATTATCACTTACAAAGAAATTAATAATTTCGTTTTTTGATAATTTCGATTTTAAACCCCCTCTCTCTACAC